CATCATAGTGAGGAATCATCACTATAGTGAGGAAAGAAACGTGCCGAGGGTCATCCTCACTCTCTCCCCCGCCGCCAGCAACAGGCCACTGCGTAGCTGTCGGCCGCTTGAGTTGGGATGGGCGCAGCGCTGAAAAGGAAAACAGATCGGAGATGAGCATGCTCAGATCACGCATACATAAACAGAAGTTAGCTGTGTGACGGGCCAAAGAAGTAGCACAAGTTGTTACTCACACCTACGAAACGAACAATGAGTTTAACCTCGCAGCTGTCAAGTTAATGGTCCACGCCGGAAACAAGACGACCCGAAAATTGATTGAAGCCTGGTCTAAGGTTGGGAGCTCAGTTAATCGATGTATCGATTTGGCTCCGACATGCAGCTCCCTATGCAGTCACCTCCAGACAGGTGCCGTTGACAGTTGATTGGTTTATACTGTCTTTAATCATAGTCTATCTTGTTGCTGATTTTATCTCTGACAGTGAAATCCTGTACGAGTTTGAAAGTTCAGAACAATGAGCAAACTGTTCCGGTGCTCGATCAGCTTTCTCCTTTACACATGCAAACAGCTGGAACGCGAAAGTTCGTATTTATTCATTAGCAACCGTAGATTCTCGGGACTTCTGGTTTTTAAATTGACTACTAAATGGGTAGTGATTAAAAGCACTTTGGCTTTAATTGAGGAAAACTCGTCTCACAGATTCGTCGTGTTTCCTTCTCGTGGTATAAAACAAATCCGTTTGCGTAGCTACCTCCCCTCCCATAATCACTTAAAACACACGTATATCAAAACATCGCTTAAGGAACTTCAGGTTATTGCATTTTTAACGTGTTCTTATGTGAAAATAGATAATTTCGCCTTACTTATCTCTTCATAGTGCTTAGAATAATTTATAATGACCAATTGGACGATAGCAGTACGCCTAGTTCGTAGACCACCGTCCAGAGACTTTGCTAGACAATGTAGGAAGCACGGGAGCATAAAGTAAACAAAAGATCCTGAATGCCAACTCGGAAAAGCGTGTGCGACAAAGGAATTTTCAGTGCAGTCTCCAGAGACAAGAGCTGCTTCGAGGCCGCAGTGCGGAATCTGACGGCGCGTGGCGCTGTTGAAGGACGCGACTGCAGGGACGTGACCAGCAAACATGCAGAGAAAACAAGAATGAGATTGTGGGGGCCGCTGTGCACAAAAACCGCCAGATTTCGGCGCAGGCGCAGTCATTTTGGACACGCGCAGTGAAG